AACTCTATGCCATTCTTTCCCAATTTGTTTCATATTGCTACCCATTTCATCGCCTGCACATTCCTTGACACCTTCTATGTCCAGAAACGTCTTTTTACTCCCATTCACCCAGTACCCCCGTGGTTATCCTCCAACCCACTCCTTTTTTGTTCCACTCCTAGCAGATGCCTCCTCAGTGCCCATCACCAGAGGAGTTCCCCCAGGATCTACCAACTTCCAATGTTCCCATGTTAAAGACCATTCTTTTACGTACATGGTGCACTACAGAGCAGTCATAAATAAACTAACTTTCCACTGCTACCCAGCTGGCTATAGACTGGTGAATAAGTCAAGAGAACGGCATTTGGTTACTGGTGGGGAATGGTTTTGGATCTAACTGCCTCTTTTAAGATGTTGTTGAAAGAATATATCCAAGAGTGGACTTGCACAGCTGGAAAAAGGAAAGCAACTGTGAGGAGAGCGCTGAAATCCAACAGCTAGACTGCTTGCCTATTCACTCTCAAGCCCTACATTACAGCTCCATCTGTCACTAACTCTAATGAGTGTACTCCAATGAGTACAGCATGTGGCAAGGCATGCTCTCCTGTCCCCTACCTGCAGGGCATGGGTGACATCTGCCTAAACGTCTAGATACCAGGTATTATCAGTACTGAGGAAAGGCTATGATAGACACACAGTTTCTTAGCGCTGGCTCATGCCGCACTGCTCCACTCCGTCAGCTGTGCTGCACGGCTGAGGGGCCGTTTCTGCAAACCGAGTCTGGGAAACGACCCTGCTGGGCAGCAAGGTGGCGAATCTCTCCCCGCGCCTCCCTTTTGTTTTCCTGGCAGAGGTCTTTTCAGCCAGATTTCCCTGCCACAGCTCACAAAGCAGCTGCACAAACACTTGTGCTCGTGCAACAGAGCGCGCGGTGCAGAGAAAGATATGCTGTAGACCGATGTCACTACTGAAGTCAGAACGTGATTCTGTTCACGCTAGCTGGCTTGAGACAGTTAGACAAATCAGCTGGCGGGAGCTGCGCCTTCAAGAGACATTGAAACACCACGCACATTCTGAACGCTGAGGAGAGGTAAAATAACCCACCACCCCTCTTCCCCCAAAGAATCAGAGCTGAAATAAGAGAGAACATAACGCCTTTGTGTTCTTTCGTATCCACAGGTGGTTTTTGTAATGATTTGTAAATTTGGCAGAAGACTTTTCGAGTTCAGCTTCACAACCTCACTTGGAGAAATTAGAAGTCATTGCCCAGACTCCCTCTTATCCACATTTCTGCTGCTGAAAAGCCTGTATTTCACAGAGATTTCTGCTCTTCCTTCTAATAACGTTTAAAAGTTTCACCACGACAACTTCCACTGTAAGAAGTCTTCCTTTCCTGTTCTCTCAATGATGATGCATACCTGACCAACAAAGAGATGCCAGCTACTACTGCATACATTAACCATAATGGAAACCAAGGCCACATCTGACCTCCGAAACAGGGTATGACATGGAGATCCTGTGAGTAACAGGGACCCAGCTATTACACCTTTGAGACACTAGAGTAACATTTATCCTACACCACACATGAACGCCTCCATTCTCATCCAGGAGAAATGCAGCAAGCCTATACAAGATCTGAGACTGCATCTATGCAGCCCAGGTGCAGCAGAGCCACGTTCCCATTCGTCCAGCTAGGAGAGCCCACCCAGGTCCAGCAGCACCTTCTAGTAGGGACATGCTTCTAGGCTGCTTGGGTTCACACAGAGGGAAAAAAAGAATCACCTACAGTAGGAGCTGTGGGAAGGCAAGGCTAAGCCTGGAAGAGGCATCTTTGCAAGTAGTCTTGAAACTACATCCAAGGTCCCAGACCATTTCTCAACATCAATGAATGAAAACTCAGCAGCCACACAAGTATCGCACGGTGCTGCTCCCTTTCAGGCAGCAGTAAAACTGCTCAGGGCTGTCCCCCACGCAAGCTGCACGAAGAGAAAGGAACCCAAGGCACTCCAGTTTCCCAGCACCACGGTCCTCACAGGCCTGTGAAGCACTCGGTCTGTTGGTCAAACACAAGAGCTTGTTCCCCTCCCTTGCCTCTCCCTCCCCTCCCATCAGGCAACGCAGATAACAGAGCTCTCCCCAGGAAAGCAAAACGCTGCCAGTTGTGCAACCCTGCGGGAAAAGTTCCTTCCTCCAGTAATCAGTTCACAGCCCGAAGCATGCGATTTACTACTCGCTTCATGTCAACATATGCAAATATAGATCTTATTTATCCAAGATAACAACTCTTTTTAAAGCTCAGACCTGGTCTTGACCTTAAAGTTACCTATTTTTTTTATAGCATTTACTATTGAAATTTTCTATTCCTCAGAGGTTTTCAATCTCAGCTAGCTTTCTAGAAGACGACCTTCTGGCACAGGATGACACTTTTCACTTATTTACAGTGTAGAGATGACCATGAAAGATTTTGTCTTCCCTTTTTTTCTTTCTTCATCCTGTCCTTTTCATATTCAAAACTGGCATTCTCCCTAGGCTAGAAAAGTATGCAACTAAGAGTTCATCCTTACAAATTAGTCTTCTAATTATTCTGAGAATGCCACGTTAAATCTGTAGTGGAGGGGGAGCAAAAACTAGGAGGAGGCAGGATAAACCACAGAACTCAAGGCAGTGAAGCACAAGCCTTTAAGAAAGGAAGAGGACCACATTTCGGGTGCTAGACTGCCTTGTCTGCTTGTTTAGCACTTATTTACCTTCAAGCTAACGAATATTTTGAATAAACCTTTGTTAAGCTTTCTGCATTCTCCCTTACCCCTTCACTTAAGGTCAAAATAAGACACCTTAAGTTCAAAATAAACTTCCTTAATACCACCCTGCCGACCTCCAAAGCCGGCCGGAAAGACCAGAATTAACATTCCTGGGACTTCCAAAGTGCAAAACCAACAAAGGGATTTTAAAAAAAAAAAAAAAAAACAAAACACAACAAACCAACACGCTCCCTTATGCCACCTTCCCAAACAGACGGACGAAAAGAGGCACAAACGCAACCCCACCCGGCCCGGCCGCAGCCGCCACAGGCGGACTGCCCCGCACCCCAGAGCCCCCGTCGGCCGGCC